CCTGCATTCCATGCGGTAGCTATTGGTGCGTTTGGGCGTCACATGTAACTGGAAATGTTTCTTCTGTTAGGTTCTATAGTGACTCTTTTCGTAGTCATTTGCATATTTTAGTATTATGCCCCCAAAATCAAATATCCCCTACTTTTTTTGAATAGTATACTAGAAAATATTGTTCTGTCCGACTCAGGATGGTGGGGTCTGCCAGTACGCCAATGCTCGTAACACACTGCAAATGGCGTATGCCCGTCGTCATTAGCCCGACGTTAAACCCAATTTTATTTCATTTCCAAGAGTTATTTATTACGGATCCCTCGATTTCTGTTCCTGTCACCATGCATCGGTATTAGAACACGATACGCCATCATTTACCGTTAATTTTCTTATTGGGTTCAGGATTTTGGTGCATCTGTATACGATCATGTTGATGTGAAGTTAATGAATGGATGGTAGACTGTTTTATAGTTCTATGTTTAGTTTAATCAATTTGATAACATCATGGACTGAGCATCGTGTTCATGTAATCACAACAATGAATAAACTCTACTTAATAATCCAATGGCGACCATCTATCAACTTTACCACACAGCTCTTCTAATGAATTAAAATGAAATGAAATGGGGTTTAGCGTCCCGCTGTTCTGTTGGGCTAATAAAGCTGTGCATTCGCCATGCAGGGAATTTTAGCCCTGGCGGCGGGGCTACGGCCTATTTCGAATTCAAGATTTCAACGATTCTTTTACGGGAACACCAATGTGCACACAGTACCTCGGTTTTTCGCCCCATTCAATTTCCCTTGCCATACCCTCTGTCCTGCACCACTGACAAGGGAAACCCAGGGATCGCACATGGGACCGCCAGGTTAGCTAGCCAACCCCCTACTTACTGATCCACCGTGACTCCACCTTCTAATAAGAACCGACAGCATATCAACATGTGATAATGCTTGTATGGTTTACAATGTCCGTGTATTTGTCTTCTATAAGTTTCTATCTAGTTGTTGTGTCAAGCTGTACTCTTGTTATTCCATCTCCATTCAGTGGTCTGGTATAGACCGACTGTGTTTAGGCATGTGTGATGATCATCTTCCTAACCTTCTGGGTTTCATATTCATTTCTTTACAACCCAACTGGGTTTTAACCCGTGACAATTAATTCCAACCAATTAATATAAAGACAGATCCGTTAATTCGCAGCACACTTGAAATTTATATAAAGCAGTAGAGCTAGATCGTATAGATTTGAAAATGCTAAAATGTGGAAAAAATGTTATTTCCTCAATTATAACTAAATTATTTAATGAAATACTTTCCACGTTAATATACCCCGATTCTTGGAGAAAAACATATATTACTTCACTACATAAAAAAGGTTACAAATCTGATCCCAATAATTATAGAGGTATTGCGATATCTGGTAATCTTTTTAATTCTCTGATCAATACTAGGTTAAAAACATTTATAGAAAGTAAGCTCTCCAATTTCCAGTTTGGGTTTAGAGAAAACCACCGAACATCAGACAATTTACTTATATTAAAAACACTGGTTTCAAAATACGTAAAAAATAAACAGGATAAAATATATGTAGCATTTGTTGATTTCCGTAAAGAGTTTGATTCTGTATGGAGACAAACTCTTCCCCTTAAGTTAGCTAAGGTATTGGAAAAAAAAGTGCTTCAATATAATCCAAGACTTATATAAAAGAACAATATCAACAGTGATATTAGAAGATCAGCTAGGCAGAGATTTTCAGATAGATATAGGTGTTAGACAGGGAGACTGTTCGAGTCCAACCTTGTTCAACATATTCATTGATGATATAAATGAGGTTTTCAATGAAGAATGTAAACCAGTAGAACTAGATACTATATCATTCAACAGTATTATGTTTGCTGATGATATCGTTTTGATCTCGAAAACTAAAGACGGTCTGCAAAAATGTCTCGACAACTTAGAAAATTATTCCGATGAGTGGAGACTAACTATAAATACCAATAAAACAAAAGCTATGTGCTTAACACACTCCAAATCAACAAATAACTCCCATAATTTTATTTATAATGGAAAATATTTAAAAAACGTTCATGAGTTCAATTATCTTGGAACCGTCATTTCAGACACTGGCTCCTGCTTAGCTGCCATGGATAACTTGACACAGAAAGGAAGTAAAGCATTTAACATTATGATTAGCAAGTTAACTAAAATAAATCCAGATCGATATCTTGTAAAGAAACTTTTTATCTCCCAAATTCGACCGATCATAACATATAATTCGTATATATGGTTTATGGATATGGACGAAAAACAACATAAAGCTAAAGAATTAAAATCATATTATAATAATTTATTGTCCAAAAAAAGGCTAAAAACAGATGTACTTTAAAAGACAAATATTTTGTTCATCTTTCTTATATAGATTCAACAATGATAGAAAAATTTAATATTAAAATGTGCAAATATACCTTAGACACAAGCAGAAAAAGTAGCAACATATATAGGCTGATGACTGAATGCCCATGGCATCTAGGTTTCGAATATTAGCCTCAAGTTTATCGTACAAACGTCGCAAATCCCGATAATTGTTAACATCTGATATCACCGGGATGTTAACCAAATCTGAAGTGTGTCTACTAATTATACGATGCCGATTTCCATATATACGTTTGAGAATGGCTATAGCATTTGAATAATTATCCGAAGTTAAAGATAGTCCAGCTATAGAGGTACGCGCATCACCGTTCAGAAAAGATTTTAAATAGTTAAATTTATCCACATCGGATAGCTGATGGTTATTATGTATAGAGTTCTCGAATGTATCCCAAAAGGGTTGCCACTGTGCGTAGTCCCCAGCAAAACTTTGGAGAGTCAATTTAGGTAACTTAACTTGAGGTTGAGTAGCTTTACCAGTAAAATTTTGAGACCCAGGCACATTTTGAGTTAGAGATTTGTCACCAATAACCGAATCAGAATCATGTACACTAATTACATCAGCATTTGGCTTGTCCGAATTATCCGATGGCGAATTTTGGCTATCTTTGACAGACTTAGGCCTAATATTCTCAAACTTTGATTCTAATTCTTGCAGTGTATGATGCAATATATTCAGAAAATTCATCCGCGATCTCAATTTCGTCAGATAATTTGTCAGCATGAGAAATTTCCATGATTTTTTCATCCAATTTTATCAATGTTTCAAGCTTCGCAGCCAATTTTGATTTATACCGAATTAGAGTATCCCTGGTTTCCAAATATGCACTCTCATCGACTTCAAGTTTCAAAATATCATTTAATTTTGAAATAATCTTTTTGACCGATGTTCGATGTCCATTTCTTTGAGCAATTTTGTGTTTGATAATCTCCTCAGCCATGATTTAAATAAGCCTGCGATTGTCCAATAAATCGAGAAAATTCTTACTGACTTTCTTGAGGTTGTACTTGACTAACTGAACACTTGAATAAAGACTGTATCTTGAGCCAAATTTTCAATTCTTGACAATGTTAGGGTGACCCACCATAAATAAATATCTCCATATATCTCGACAATTACGCCACAATATTTATATATATGCCAAGCCTCAAATCAGTTTCACACAATTATAGTCACTAAATAAACGATCATGTTGTACTACGTCTGATTGACAGGTCGAGATAATCAAGACTACTTTTTTACGAAACGTAACAGAAAGCTAGAACAAGAAATTGAATTTAGAAATAAGCACGTTAGGTAGCTCAACAATCGTTTTAAGAAGCTTGTAAAAGTAAAATGAAACTACTGCTAGTATCATGTTCCTGCCTAACCCGAGTGATTCAGATATATTATTTGTACTAAACCAAAAGATGCCGCTCTTAACGGTACAGTTAATGATAAAGCGATTTAAAAAATGAAACGAACGTAATTTCTAAATCTGCTGTAATAACCAAGAAGCTTAATTTAACTGCTATCCAAAATCGTCAACAATAAATTTTTTACGGCTGTAATAGTTGATAGATTTGTAGAGAATTGCACGTGCCATGGCTATTTATAGTATCATACTGTCAGAAAGTTGGTCTCGGCACGGCGAATGTGAACGCTTCAGTGGTAGTCTCGAACTATCAGCGGTGGACTGTATTTCTGTGAGTACATGGGCCACCCTATTCTTGAATGAGTGTCGATCCAGAATCCTGATTCAATCCGTCTCGTCGGACCATGTAGCGGCGGGCCTCCCTAGATTCACTGAATTATCACAATCCCCTTGAACTATGCCGACGAAGGCAGAAACAACAAAACCAGATTGAGTTTTAGAGCACAGAGTTATATTAGAATAAACATTCACAATTGGATAGACCCTTACCGCGATGGAATCAAACAAACGTACATGATAGAAATTGAACTGAGCTAAATCTGCACGTTTACATCTCGCCGGTAGTCCGTGCAGAGCGCGGGCTAAACTAGTGACGTAACATACATCTCGAACCACAAGTCACGTATCATGATCACCCAGTCTCTCACAAGTGGACGTTAAACCCCATTTCTCTCTATCTCTCTTTATAAAGCGCCAGTTTAGCGAAACACTGTGATGGTCGAATATCAAGATATAATAGAATTAAATATGAATGAGAAAAAAAGAAAGCTGACACTTTTATATTTAAATATGAAAAATATCAGTTTCTGAGTTTACAGGGAAAAAACAGGAACTTATTAATTTGAAATCTGAGCAAAAAAATTGCCCTAGCAAAATGTTTGACTTTAACTTAACTTTACTTTATAACGAAAAACTCTTTTGTGTTGTTTTTTGTTTATATAAGTTTGTTTTCTTTTCAAAAATACAAAGTGTTAAATAATATCAAATTATGTGTTAGTCCCGAAATGACCTAGTTTGTGTCGTCGAGTAGACGTTAATCCCAAATTTTTCTCTCGCAAACCAAAAACCCTAAAGATAGAGCAACTTTGTTAAAATAATTGTGCAAGGGGAAACAACTCCAATTTATAAATAAAAAAAGCGTCTGGTTAACCTAGGCTATGTTTATGGAACGTGTAGTGTGGCGACGATAATTGATAAGCTGTTTTTATTTACGGTTAATTGAACAGATTATCGGCGGACAGCAACTTGTGCAGGCATGATATTGTAACAGTGTTGTGGTTACCTACTACTAAAATAATCAATTCAAGACATAGCTGTAAACAATTAGGCGCACAGCACAGGTGAGAATTTCTGAATTTGTAATTGTGCCGATTCGGCGATATGACCACGCCCTCGTCCTATAACAACAACAACATCCATTTAGATGGTAGCAAGGTGTGTTTTATTTATTTAGCTGTGCAAGCGATTGAAGTATAAAAACGTAAAGATACATTAATACTTTTGAGGTCTTGATTGGATTTTAGGTCGATTTTTCACGATAATATAACTTTTAAGAAACGAACTGGCCACGAACTAATAACAGCATAAAAACTATTCAACTAAGCCATCATTTAGACGTCTCGATTATTGCATTGAATTTGAAATTCAAAACTAATCTGCTAATGTCAATGTAACGTACACCGTTTGTCTTTCAACTTGCGAAGTGTACTGTGTGAGGTGAGGGGTTTATTGAAATAAAACTGAACTGTGTTAGTCCCGAAATGACTTAGTTTGTGTCAAGTGAAAATTAAACCCCATTTTTCTCCCTCTCAGTCTCACAAATGGTACAGTTTGTAACGGTGACGTCATATTCTTATCTAGAGAGCATGTCCAATAAATACTCATTCATATTACATTTTTATATGCATTGCGACCCATTTGTGTCGATTTCTAGGTCCAAAATATTAGGGATTGAGCTCCTTTAATACAGCAAAGATGGTTATTGCTCAAGGCAACCTATTAAGGGTTCATTATATAATAATTAGATACAGAGGTGACAATTCTTGGTACAATATTTAAACATACATTATGCAAGAGGTAAATCTGCCTATTTTTGCAGGTCTTTCTTTTGGCCTGAAATATTATATAAACTGTTAATTAGACATTAATTAACTTATCCAAACCATAATCAACTCTCGATGCCAACGTTATCCTGCAATATTTACTGGATTTGAATACATTTTGTGATGGATGATTTAACGTTAAAATGGATAATAGTAAGTGCAGGGGGACTGCACCACACAAAATTTACACAAAAACAGATACACGGACAAGACATCATACTTAGAAAAACACAAACAGACAAACAATTCAAAAAAAGAAAATTGAAAAAAAAGTGAATAGATCCAGGGGCTAGCCGTTTAGTAATAATGATCGAGACTAGACCTAAAATTCAATCGCTGATATCTTGCGAGTGGAGCAATTTGAATGAAATTTTCAGCATATTCTATTTACATTATATATATTTTTTAACTATTATTGCTAGAACTGTCAGCTCTTTATCTAATCTCTCATAATTCCCCTTTAATAGCAAATTATATTAAATGAATATATTAAAAATTTCAGTCAACTTACATATTTTGTGCAAATTTAATAGCAAATAATATTAAATGAATATATTGAAAATTTCAGTCAAATTACTTTATTTTATGCAAAGGTAATAGCAATTATTCTTTTGATGTACATGTACTTGGAGATTAATGAATACAGTATTGACCATTAATTGATAATATAAACACCTGTTACTAAACGTTTATGTATATTTATAACAGCTTTCTATTATACTACATATACCCATTTATACATAAATACTGGAAGATCCTACAGAACATCTCATTATACAAAAATACAATTAACATCTCATTTAAATATGGGCCTATTAATATAGCCTCATTTAAATATATTATAGCCTATTCATGTAGGTCAACTCACATAACAAGAATCATTGTGTTATTGTTACATTCTATTCCCGATTAAACGTGACAAGGAGTAGGGTTGTCTGTCCAACCTTGTGGGTTTCCTCCCACTGCTAAAGACCCCTAGTTTGGGTTTTCTCTGGGTTTTTCTCAGTTTTTCTCCCACTGCTAAAGACCCCTACGCACAAGCAAATTATTGAAATAAAATTGAGCCATATGTTAGTCCCAAAATAACCTAGTTTTTGTGGAGTAGAGTTAAACTCTCTCTCGCTCTCTCTCTCTCTCTCTTCACCTACAATTTGATTAAAACACAGATCCTATTTCGTTTCGTTTTTTAAAGTTCAAAATTTCGTTTTAATTGTCTTTTACTACACCAGGATCTGGAAAAGTTGTTATCATTGAAGTGTTCTGGATAATGTGAGGGTTTAGGCAATGAAATGGTCTGTTTGGCGTGAGGTGCACGAAACTGTGGGTAATCCACTAGAAACATCAATGCTGATTGGTTAATCAAATGTCTGATGTCTAAAGGTCAAAAGCCGCTCATGTGACCTCTGACACAACCTGTATTTTTATCAGATTAAGTCATATTTTATTGAAATAATATACATCGTACAGAATATAGTTGGACTAACAGGCTAAAAGTGCCTTTTCTTGGCCTCATAACCCGAGTTTCGTGTACCTATTCTAATAAAAACTAAAAAGAGTATTGGTATTTTATTGGTCTGTCAGTATTATTAAGGGGTCATGTATTTTTTTAAAACTTTATTCAGAATGCTTGTTTCCAAATTATTTTTATTAATTAGTTTGGGATCCGTTCCACACGTTTTGAATGAATCAGTTTAGTAGATGTAGACATTGGTATATCGGGTAACCCAGATGTCCGGCAAAACATAATTTGACAATCATTTTAAAAACTTGTACTATCGTTACACTACATGTATTTGAGTAGTGGACCTGGTGGACGTGCATCTTTGCATGAAGTTATCAAACATCCACATTGTGCGACATGTGAAACGTTAATGATATAGGTATATAACTTATTTAATTATTGCACTCTAAACAGTGTACTCGTTTTTTTTTTTGGGGCCACCTGATATACATGTATACACTGTGCATGTATTCACATTATGTATGTTTTATGTCTAACCTAGAAATCTAATCGTAAATATTGTTCTTATCTTAAAAAGATAACCGCATACAATCTGCTAAAGATCCGTAATAAGGCGGATGTAACAATAATTGGGATTTAATCTTATAATTAATTATCTTGTCAGGGAGGAGAGAGAAATGGGGTTTAACGTCCCCTTGCCACAAACTAGGTCATTTCGGGACTAACATATGGTTCAATTTTATTTCAATAATTCGTTGACGCGTAGGGTTCTTTTGCACTTGCACTAGGAGGGAACCGGAGGACCAGGAGAAAACCCACAAGGTTGTCATGTACAACCAGGGAATCTATTATCTTGTCATAAATATACCAATGAATAGATTTTAACCTAATAATTAATTATTTTACCAAGTAATAATTTACAATTATGTAAGATTAGATAAAGAGTTGACAGTTCTCGCTATATTAGATATAAAATAGATAATGAAAATAGAATATGCTTAAAATTTCAAGCATATTGCCCCACTCTGAACCGAGATATTAGCTTTTGAATTTACAATTAAGATTAATTTAAAGGTACATATTGGGAGATTAGATAAAAGTTGAGAATTCTTGCTATAATTGTTAAAATATAGATAACCTAAATAGAATATGCTGAAAATTTCAGGCAAATTGCTCCACTCTGAACTGAGATAATAGTTTTTGAATTTTAGGCTAGCCTCGATCATCATTATTAAAGACTGTACAATAAAAAACAAAATCTCGATTATCCATTTTTACGTTTAATTAATTTTAAGTAAAATATATTACAATTCACTAAATATCTCAGGCTAGCGATGGCCTTGAGAGTTGCATAATGTCTAATATAATTTAGATAACATTTCAGGACTAAAGAAAGACCTGCAATAGGCAGATTTAGCTCTTGTGTAATGTATGTTTAATAAACTTCTAATTAATGTAGTTACCAGTAGATTGAAGCCATCATGTTACATAAGGTTGTACATGTAGGTCTTAGGGGGAGAGTTTAGTAGATCATTTATTAAATATTAAATAATCAATTTTAGCGTGGAATAAGCTGTGACCAGTTTGATATTATATGTTAAATAATCAATTTTAGCATGGAATACGCTGTGACCAATTTAATATTATATGTTAAATAATCAATTTTAGTGTTAATGCACAGAGCTTTTAAAGTGACAATCACACTTTTGCTGTAACTAAATAAAATGTCCCAATCTTCATTCTGTTCAACAAATTGTACTATTAAATAATATTCCAATTTATTGGTGCTATATATTTCATCTTAAAAAACCTATTTTAAAAACATCGGAAAAATTCCGGTAGGCCAGCGGTGTTCTCACAGATTTCACTATTAATGGGACTGGAAAAACTTTCTACAGACCGGGAAAAAGGGGAACCCCATTGTAGCCATGCAGAGGTATTACAGGAGTTAAGTCAAGCGAATTATTAAAATAAAATTAAAACCATATGTTAGTCCCGAAATGACCTACATGTAGTTTGTGTCGAGTGGACGTTAAACCCCATTTCTCTATCTCTCTTAATGAATTTGTGTTTATACAGGTATAGATCGGTAATTTTAGAATAGACAATAGTCCTACGTCTACCATATTTGACAATGAAATAGGGTTTGATGTCTTACTTTTCTGGGGCAGCTACGGTGGCTCGCTAGTCTGGAGGTCGCGGGTTCACTCCCGGTGTTGGCCGAGAAAATTTCATCATGTTTTTCCAGCGCGGTTTCTCCTTGTCAGTGGTGCTGGATGGAGGGTCTGACGAGGAGAGCTGTCTAGGTGTTCGGATAGGACAAAAAAATGAGGTCATGTTTACACGTTGGGGCGCATGTAAACGATCCCTTTGCAGTTGGAGTTCAATATAAGAGTAGGCCATAGCGCCGCTGTCCGGGCAAGGAATAGGAGGTTCCAGGAACAATCCTAGTGTTGCTTGAAAATGTTGTTCAGTATTTTCCGACCCGGTATTCCCTTGTCATTGGTGCAGGACGGAGGGCTTGTGCCCCCTGGCCAGGAACATCATCTAGTCAATCATATGGCACAGAAACTTTGACAGGAGGATTCTGAAATAATTGCAGATCGGAGCAATGCTGTCTTATCAAAATATCACTTATAACACACTGCTTGGCATCTGCCTGTCTTCAACTGAATTTCATGTTTTGGGTTAGAAAGTACTTCTCATGAATTCAGTGGGTGCTAAAACATAGATTTCAATACTAGATCAATCTTCTGTCATATCGCGAAGCTCAAATGGCAAGAATCCCATGAGGTCTGGTCGCGTTGTCATGCTCTTATTCGAAAGAGAACATGAAAAACTACCTGTATGCTAATTTTCATGCTTTTGTAAAAAAGTAATCGATTTTTCACCCAAGTACACATGACTAGAGAGGGTATATTCAGACTGGTTTATAAGAGGTCCGAAATTCCTTCACAACGAAATGTGGTGTCTGATGAATATATATGTATTCTATATAAGGTTACTTCTTAATCACGTGATCACTATTTCAATTGTTGAACCCCTCTATTGTTAATTAGAGTTTCGTGTATACAAGAGATGAATAAAACGTGTTTGATTAGATTCGTATGTGTGTATTTTAACTTGAGTTAAATCCGATGCAATCCTTGAGATATATGACCCGGGAGATATAACACCAAACTGTATGATGTATGGGAGATGGTAATCGTAGGCTGGTTGGGGAGGTTTGGGTACTGTATTTCCGGAGTCCAAAATGGCCGCTTTATTACAATGAGTATTTTGGGGAATACTAACCCTAATCCCAGCCATTTTAAGAGTGGTAAAAGGTAACTTGGATCCTCGTTCAGTCTTCTAAAAAGGGTTTGAGTTAGGGTTGGGGTTAGTATTCCCCAAAATTCTCATTTATATAAATCTGGCATTTTGGACTCCGGAAACACCCAAACCACCCCAACCAGCCTACAATTAGCATCTCCCATGCTGTATCTATGGCTTCATAAGCCCGGTTGATTTTAAAAAGGAGGTCGTAACTCCTTATTTTATTTTATTTTACTAGTATTTACTTTCCTGTTAAAAATTACTTACTTTGTAAAATAAACTCTTTTTTTTCTGTTACAGTGAAAGATGGGTGTTGTAGAACGTTTAAAGTTAGGTGTGACATTATTAGGGTTTTTGACGTTGGCGTATACGTATATAGCTGCAGGATTTATTATCTGTGCTTTGATGTTATGTTCCTGTGTTATTTGGCCGATCAATAAAACTATATATAGAATTATTAACGTACATCTAGGATACTGTTTTTGGTCATGTAAGTATAAATTCTGTTTTAAAGTAATATTTTTTCGCCCCTGTCCGTCCGGCATCCACAATTTCTTGTGAACATTTTACAGACAACATTTATCAATCATCTACTTGTTTTGAAATTGATAAATGTTGTTTACATTAGTGAGATGAAGAAGCCTATCAATCTGATTAAAGAACAGATCTATATTTCGTTTTGTTTTTTATACTTTCAATGGCCTGCACTACATGAAGATTTGACCAGAGACAACAACATTATCCCCAAAGGCCTACAGATTAGTTTTTTAATCCTTTGATCTTGTTGTTGTCATGCATGGTTTCTGAATTGTTGTTATTGCTTGTCTATATATAATTGCTCTACACACTTGTTACTGTACTTGCTTGAAAACATTGAGAGAATTCTCTTCGAAACGTCGCCCAAATAAATCAGTAATTGTTCTTCCATAAGTATGTGTTATAGTTTATTTGACCAGTTGTAGTAGAAGTTAGTGTCAGGGGTCATACAAACGGCTTTTGACCCTATGACGTCCAACAGTTGATTAACCAATCAGTGTTGATGTTTCTAGCGAACTTCAGAGTGTATCTTTAACGCTTCCTTGTAGGTGGCATGATGGTAGAGGGTCGTTTACTGGGACCAAGTATGATATAAAGATTGATATTATTTCAGTTTATACATTTTTGGGAGATTGGTGGTCGAATTCAACATGTTTATTATACATGTCCGAAGAGGATCACAAATTAATGGGAAAAGAAAATGTATTATGTATGCAGAATCATCGTTACGAAATAGATTGGTTAATGACGGGAATGGTAGCTGATCATTTTAATATGCTGGGGGTAAGCTTGCAATATTTTATATTTTAATATGCTTGGGGGGGGGGGGGTAAGTTTGCAATATTTTGATATTCTGGGGCAGGGCTGTCAAAAAAATATTTTTATATCGATATATTGCAATACAATCATCCATGATACACTGTATCGATACATTTTTGCCATATCAATATTTTTCTACTTTTTTTTATATTCAAATGTTAGCTAGACTGTTTATGAAAACTTCATAATCAGTCATATTATTTAGGCTTTGCAGTAAACAATAAGTTCTCAAAGACAAGACCAAAGTTGTAAAAACAAATAAAGTGAAATGTGTATTCACATAATCAGTCATATTATAGGTTTTGCAGTAAACAATAAGTGTCCAAGACCAAAGTTGTAAAAACAATAAAACTATTCAAAATAAAACTGTGCTTTGTGATAGTTCCTGACTTTATAGAAGTATTGCAATGCTGCAATCAGGCCCGTAACTAGCTCAGAGCAACAAGGGGGGCATAACTCAGGGGTGCTGTAATAATGACGGACAATGTATGTCTATTTTTTTTTTTTTCATTATGGGGATTGGATGGCTGAATGGTTAGCGTGCGCGCGCTGTATCATAAAGTCTGTCATTGAGTCGACTGGCGTGGTTTCGAATCCCCGGTTGTACGTGACAAGGAGCAGGGTCGCCTGTCCAACCTCGTGGGTTTTCTCCGGGTCCTCCGGTCTCCTGCCACTGCTAAAGACCCCTATGCGCAAGCGAATTATTGAAATAAAATTAAACCATATGTTAGTCCTGAAATGACCTAGTTTGTGTCGAGTGGACGTTAAACCCTATTTCTCTCTCTCTCTCTCTATTTTTTTATGGTCCAAAATTTTTTCACAGGAGGGGGGAGGGGGGGTGCTTTTAGAGATAAGTACATGGAGCCAAGTAGTGCTTCTATAAATTTGATTCTTCCTTCTTTCTATCAAAATGTGCTTTTCGGGAATAACACTGCTATATAGATTTAATTTAAGACCTTGATATTATTCTACTATTTTCCAGAACCATAAAGTTTACTCGAAGAATTCCCACAAGTATGTACCATTAGTTGGTTGGACGTGGTATTTTACGGAAAGTCTTTTCTTAAAGAGAAATTGGCAGGAAGATAAAACTATCTTAAAAACTGGATTAAAAAATCTCACTTGTTATCCTAAAGATTATCCAGTTACTGTAAGTAGCCTTATATTTTAGTTTATCTATATAACTATTTCTTACTGCAAGTAGCCTTACATTATAGTTTATCGATATAACTACTTCTTCAACCATTTACTGTAAGTAGCCATACATTATAGTTTATTGATATAACTACTTCTTTAACTAGTTACTGTAAGTAGCCTTTAAGTAGCCTTACATTATAGTTTATATAACTACTTCTTTAACCAGTTACTGTAAGTAGCCTTACATTATAGTTTATCTATATAACTACTTCTTTAACCAGTTACTGTAAGTAGCCTTACATTATAGTTTATAGATATAACTACTTCTTTAACCAGTTACTGTAAGTAGCCTTACATTATAGTTTATTGATATAATTACTTCTTTAACTAGTTACTGTAAGTAGCCTTACATTATAGTTTATCGATATAACTACTTCTTTAACCAGTTACTGTAAGTAGCCTTACATTATAGTTTATCGATATAACTACTTCTTTAACCAGTTACTGTAAGTAGCCTTTAAGTAGCCTTACATTATAGTTTATCTATATAACTACTTCTTTAACTAGTTACTGTAAGTAGCCTTACATTATAGTTTATTGATATAACTACTTCTTTAACCAGTTACTGTAAATAGCCTTACATTATAGTTTATTGATATAACTACTTCTTTAACCAGTTACTGTAAGTAGCCTTACATTATAGTTTATTGATATAACTACTTCTTTAACCAGTTACTGTAAGTAGCCTTATATTATAGTTTATCTATATAACTACTTCTTTAACCAGTTACTGTAAGTAGCCTTACATTATAGTTTATCTATATAACTACTTCTTTAACCAGTTACTGTAAGTAGCCTTACATTATAGTTTATCGATATAACTACTTCTTTAACCAATTACTGTAAGTAGCCTTATATTATAGTTTATCTATATAACTACTTCTTTAACCAGTTACTGTAAGTAGCCTTACATTATAGTTTATCTATATAACTACTTCTTTAACCAGTTACTGTAAGTAGCCTTACATTATAGTTTATTGATATAACTACTTCTTTAACTAGTTACTGTAAGTAGCCTTACATTATAGTTTATCGATATAACTACTTCTTTAACCAGTTACTGTAAGTAGCCTTACATTATAGTTTATCGATATAACTACTTCTTTAACCAGTTACTGTAAGTAGCCTTACATTATAGTTTATCTATATAACTACTTCTTTAACCAGTTACTGTAAGTAGCCTTACATTATAGTTTATCTATATAACTACTTCTTTAACCAGTTACTGTAAGTAGCCTTACATTATAGTTTATCGATATATCTATATAACTACTTCTTTAAACATGCATTATGTAATGCTACAGTAGGTTCAAGGCGTTATATGACCATTCACCAAAATATATCAAAGATCTGATTACCCCATATAAATCCACAAGAACTCTTAGATCCACAGATAAACAATTTCTGTATCAATCATCCGTGAATCTTGAAATTACAAAAATATCTTTCTCGTTCTCTGCTCCTCTCTTATGGAATTCATTGCCTTACAACATTAAAACCATTGACCCCATGGATGGATTTAAATCTCATCTAAGGGCATTCCTGTTTACAGAAGTGTTTCCGTAGCTCAATACAGACAACTTGAAAAGTGCAATAGAAACTTATTATTATTATTATTATTTTTAGTTATACATGTATCCTGAAGGAACACGATTTACAGAAGAAAAACATAAAGCTAGTTTAGAAGTGTCAAGGTCAAAAGGTTATCCTGATATGAAACACCATCTATTACCACGACCAAAAGGTTTAATGGCATTTGTTCGAGACATGAGAGGAAAATGTAAGTATATAGTTAGCTTGATGATTTCTTTAAATGCACATAAAAAATCCCTTGGCAGTTGGAATTCGATATAAGAGCAGGCGATAGTGCCACTAACTGGGTAAAATTTCCCTCATAGCACACTGTATGGCGTATGCCCGTCTTCATTAGCCCAGTAGAAGGAGCAGAACAGTACGTTAAACTCCATTTCATTTCATTTTTTTGATGATTTATTTAGTCTGGAAATAAACAGGACACGATTCTGTGGAAATCAATTTTTGTTTCAATCTGATTAAAACACAGATCCTATTTCCTTTCGTTTTTATAGTTCAAAATTTACTTGTCTTTACTACACTAGGATCTGGAAGCGTTGTTAAATAACCTGCATTCTGGATGATGTGAACTATAAGCCAATGAAACAGTCTGTTACGGCAAGCTTTTGGCGTGAGGTGCACAGAACTGTGGGTAATCCACTAGAAACATCAATGCCGATTGGTTAATAAAATGTCTCATGTCATAGGGTCAAAAGCTGCATGCATGACCTCTTACGTGACCTGCCAAAACAACTCGTCAGATCTTCATATAGTGTAGGCCATCGAAAGTATAAAAAAAAACTAAACGAAATATATATCTGTATTTTAATAAGATTGATTTTTGTTTATTACTGAGCAACATTTTGTATAGGCTTCTCTACTTTTGAACAAGCAATGTTACAACAATTATAAAATTATAATTCCAAGGTAGTTATGAATAAACCTTTCACTGAAAGTGGTAGAAGGGTGGAGCAATCCCTGTAACAGTGCAAGTAAGCCTGGCTTCAAACCGCAAAAAAAACAAACAAATCCTGGTAAACAATCCAAAAAAGATTAATCCTTGAGCAACAGACTTGACAAGACTGTGTGACAATGTCTTGGATTAAGTATGGTTTAATGGTAGAGAGAGAGAGAGAGAGAAATGGGGTTTAACGTCCACTCGACACAAACTAGGTCATTTCGGGACTAACATATGGTTTAATTTTATTTACATAATTCGCTTGCGCGTAGGGGTCTTTAGCAGTGGGAGGAAACCGGAGGACCCGGAGAAAACCCACGAGGTTGGACAGGCGACCCTACTCCTTGCCACGTACAACCGGGGACTCGAAACCACGCCAGTCGACTCAGTGACAGACTTTATGATTAATGGTTTAATGTTTCGAGAGCGAGACATTAAGTAATATATTGATACTGCACGAGGCGTTAGTCGAGTGTTGTTTCAATATATTACGCAATGTTTTTAGCTCAAGACCATTAAACAACTTAAAATACAGACACTATCCAGCACGTGTTTTTCAATGAAATATGTCACGCAAGTCCAATATTTCATCTAGTATAGATAATAATATACAATTAGCAAGTTGCCCATACATTAATGGAAATAATGGTACCCAACATTAAAGGATGATGTCACATCTATATTTTAAATTGTATTGCCAAGTTTGTTGTCTGGGGATTCATATTTTTTAAATTGATGGGACATTGTATACAACAATTACATTAACTTGCCAATAATGACCAATCAGAGACAATCAACTTATTTACTTCAGCATTATCCAATAAAATCTTTTTCAAAATGTATTTATTTCTATGATTTTCAGTTGACTCAGTACTTGATTCTGAGATCTTGTTTGCTGAACATCCCAAGCCGTCAGTTTGGACCATAGCTCAACGTATACCTGTTACAGCTCATATCTATATGAAGTAGGCCATTTATGTACAGTTAATCCTTTCAATAAGAACATCTGCATTAGGAGGCCATTTATATATACAGTTAATCCTTTCAATAAGAACACCTTTATTAGGAGGCCATTTATATATACAGTTAATCCTTTCAATATGAACACCTGGATTAGGAGGCCATTTATATATACAGTTAATCCTTTCAATAAGAACACCTGTCATAGGTGACCACCTATAGAATCCTTGAGTGAAATTTAGTGATTGAGCACATTAAAAAACACAACACAATTTATATGGGATACAATCACTGGTTTGTACACATAACACGACGTTTCGACAAGTATTCTCTTATTGTTGTCAAGCATAACAAGTACAAAAATGATAAGAGAATACTTGTTGAAACATTGTGCTATATGTGTATAAACCAGTGATTGTTTTCCATATAAATGGTGTTGTGTTGTGTGTGTGTGGGGGGGGGGGGACCTCCTGTACAGTTAATGCATTCAGTGATAACACTTGTCATAGGAGACCTCTCATCAAGTGTATTCATGTAGTCTTGTGTTCTCATGATATAAGCCTGGTTAAATGGACAAACATTCCCTCAAATTTCATCCAAACTGTCAGATTAAAGTGTGTTGCTAGTCTGGATACAAATAATGTTGGAAAACAATGATTAATGATTTGACTTAATCCTGGCCCAGAGTTCACAAAGCATTCTCAGACTTAAGTTAAGAATATACTCAACTTTCAATCACTGTTATTGTTTACTTCAAAACCTAAATAATATGAACAGTCTAGCTAACATTCAATCACTGTTATTGTTTACTGCAAAGCATAAATAATATGACTGATTATAAAGTCTTTATAAACATTCTAGCTAACATTTGAATATAAAATAAAAGTAGGAAAATATTGATACAGCAAAAATGTATTGATACAGTATCGCGGATGATCGAATTGCAATATATCGTTATAGCAATATGTTTTTACAGCCCTAATATACGTATGTATAAGAATAGATCTATCTGTACACTATGATGTATATAAACTTAAATTAAATTAAATTTTTGTATTGTTCGTAGACTTTTTTCCAAGTTATTTCTTTTAATTGTGGATCTATTTTTCAACGTAAATGTTCTTTATATATGTATATCTTCTTTTTTCACGATGCTCTGTGATATTTTATTGTTTTTCGCTTTATGTTGTTTCACCTATTGAGATGTATGTTGATGTAATTGGCGTTAAATAATAAATAATATTACTATAAGAATATATCTATTGATATATTTTTAGACGTTATAAAATAGAAGATATACCAGTAGAAACAGATCAAGAATGTGCTGAATGGTTGAGAGATCTCTATCTTAAAAAGGTCAGTTTTAACAAAAAACATCTTTATTTAATTGTTTGCAGCTTTTTTTGCATTACAGTAATAAAACCCATTTCATTTATTCTTGCATATTATTTGATTGAATTTATATGCCAACATTAAATGTGGTCAAGTATTGCCGTCCAGCTCTATTTTCAGTATTGCATTGCCATCTCTGTCTTTGTTGTAAACTATTTTCTTTGTGTGGATCTTTCTTCGTCACGTGATTAAGTTGGAAGTTCTTCTACTTCTATTACCTGTTCAGTAATCGCTGACTGTACTTTGTAGTTTCACTTAATTAATCTGAGAAAACTATTAAATTGTCATAAATAACACGGATCGATAATTCTTTAATTACAAAACAAAAATGATATCGGTTTCACGGTTTATTTTCTTCATCGCATGATTTGAAGTAGGTTTCTTGATTTGCCCAGTGCATTTTTGATTTTTTATAATCAAAGTAAAATAATAAAGCCACATGCTGTCTGTGTAAGGTAGGTAGAGGCGGCAACCTCTGGGGTAACAACAAATATGCTTACCCATCTCGAACACCTTAAAACAGAATGTAGTTTGATACTAGCATGATTCGTGATGTCACCATATTGTGATACATATCATATATCGGTTTGCCATATCATCAATACATATCATATTGAAAATGAACTGTATCGATACAGACCTATTTAGAATACAATAACTCACGATCATACATAACATTCTTGACATCCCCTAGATATATTTGTATTATTTTATGTTTTTCAGGATAAGATGTTTGATGAGTTTATTAATAATGGGAAGCTACAAGGAGTTCCGTACAAAATACCCAAAAGTTATAAAAATATAATGAACGCCTTCTTCTGGATGTTGGTCACGTGTCTTCCATTGTTCAATTTAATCGCAGGAATCATAATCTCAGGAACTTTTTTCTCTAGAATAATTCTAGTCCTGGCTTTTATTACAGGTATGATGATTATTATTTTTTACATCCCACTTCTACCTCGTTGTCAGTGGCAACCTTTGATAAAACTGTCCTGTTTATTTCCAATACAAGCATAAAAGTATCCGTGTATCAGAAATGAACAGTACGCTTTCCAGAAAGAGTACTGTTCATTTCCGACAAACAAACACTTTTATACAAGCATTGAAAATAAGCAGGGTGAAAACAAACACCTAGAAAGTCATAAATTTTATTACAAATAAATTTCAACGGATGAACCATCCGCCAATGCACACTTCACCGGGATTGACCCACGTTGTGCAGTGTCCTTTACACAGCTTTACATAACGTTTAATTTAATTGCAGTCCTCTACGCCAGGGACAAGTTGTTTTGACAGTGAGGTTGGCTCTATGTTCACCGACTTCGTCAAAACAACTTCGTCTTTCAATACGGAGTGCAGTCTAAAAAAACATGGGACTGTTTTACGCTCAGGGTAATGCAGCAAGACGCACGTGTAAATACTACTCAGGTCGTTTCTCCACTGCGAAATCAGTCTACAACAAAATGTAAAGTGAGGCACAGAAAGGGATAAATGAAAGAGCAGAAAGTATTTGTCACATTTCCCTTGCACGACTCGATAATAAATACAATTTTTCACATTTCACTTCACAATACTCGATAGAAATGTGATGTAAGTGATTTACATGTATTAGCACCTTTCCTCTGTGTATCGGTGAAGATCTGGATAGTTTTGGTCGGGGACTGCCTCGGCTGAGCCCCTCGACCAAAACTGTCCTGATATTCACCGATACACCTCAGAAAGTGTGCTAATAACTACTACGTGTGTGCTTTAGGTCATACGGTCTGTCGTTGAGTCAACTGGCGTGGTTTTGATCCCAAGACCTGACCGCACAAGCAAATTGTGGAAATAAAATCGTATCGTATGTTAGTCCCAAAATGATCATTAAATCCCATTACACTCTATCACATAAAAATCATAATACACTATCGGATGATCCTGCACGGTCCGGGTTGTGTCCGTAACTTTGAAAACGGAAGCTGTAGGCCAACCCCACCTAGCCCATATTACTCCCTGATCCGAGCCACCCCTATACACCAAATTTCAGCCTCAGGACAGCCCTAGTGTAGCCGCCAACCCCGAACAGACAAACAGATAGACAAAGGAAAGTCACAAACATTAGCACATAATTGTCTCAAAATCTGAATCGGATTTGCAACATGTTTTCATTTCTTTTTTTTTTTTCAGTTATCATTTTGTTTCGATTGATTATGTCCGTCACAGAAATTGACTCAGGATCCAAATATGGTCATAAAACATCAACCAATGGAAAAACAGAATAGACCATTTGTAATGTCTACCTATATATAATAACCAATCATTTACAAGCTTACTAGTTATAACCGTACTGTTGAGTGACCTGGGATAAACACAGTTTCAATTTTCAATATGATGTGTAGAATATGCTATTTCGATATCGGTAATAACTTTTCGTTAATAACTCTCGATGCCATCTGATGCTAGAGATTTTCAGTGGATTTAAACATGATTTGCATTTAATAATTTAGTTAATAAATGGATAATCAAGACTTTGTTTGCTATCGTAACAACGGTAGCAATGACAAACCGAGACCTCGCTATATTCGGCATACAACCCTAACGTCACTCAGAATGAAGTAATCTTACTGAAATTTTCAACATGTTCCCTTTTCATTATCTATTTTATAACTATTATAGCGAGAACTGTCAGCTCTTTATCTATTTTATATAACTATTATAGTAAGACTGGCCAGCTCTTTATCTATTTTAAAACTGTTATAGCGAGAACTGTCAGCTCTTTATCTATTTTATATAACTATTATAGTAAGAACAGCCAGCTTTTTATCTATTTTATATAACTATTATAGCGAGAACTGTCAGCTCTTTATCTATTTTATATAACTATTATAGTAAGAACGGACAGCTCTTTATATATTATATAACTATTATAGCGAGAACTGTCAGCTCTTCATCTATTTTATATAACTATTATAGTAAGAACAGCCAGCTTTTTATCTATTTTATAACTATTATAGTAAGAACAGCCAGCTTTTTATCTGTTTTATAACTATTTTAGTAAGAACAGCCAGTTCTGTATCTGAATCTTACATAATGCATCTTTAAATAACGTCCAGGTCAAAATGATCATTTGGCAACTAATGGAGCCTTAGTAATGATGATATATTGCAAACTGTATGTCATGCCAAGATCCATGTTCAATATAAAAATATAATTACATGTGACTAACCAATTGAACAGAATGAATAGAACTTGTTTTAATTAGATGACTTAAATAATTTAAAGATATGTTTTTTTTCTGTATTTTCTGGTAAATATTAGATAATATATTTTCTATATTACATGACCTAATGACATATTTTCTATATTACATAGTTTGATAGACATATTTCCAATATTACATCTATGATGACATATGGTCTGATAATATATTTTCTATATAATATGGCCTATTGACATATTTTCTATATTATATGGTCTGGTAATATATTTTCTATACTATATGGTCTAATGACATATTTTTGTTATCAGATGGTCTAATGACATATTTTGGGGATCACGTGGCTAAGTGGGTAAGACGCTGGCTCGCTAGTCTGGAGGTCGGGTATTCGATCCCTGCATTGGCCGAGAAAGTTCATTCAGTTTTTCCGGCGTGGTTTCCCCTTGTCAGTGACGCAGGATGGAGGGCCTGACAAGAATAGCTGTCTAGTTGTTCGGATGGGACGAAAAACTGAAGTCCTGTGTACACATTGGCGTGCACGTAAAAGATTCCTTGGCAGTTGGAATTCGATATAAGAGTAGGCCGTAGCGCCGCTGCCCTGGCAAAATTTCCCTCATAGCACACTGTATGGCGTATGCCCGTCTTCATTAGCCCAGGTTAGGAGCAGAACAGTAGGATGTTAAACCCCATTTCATTTCATTTCAATGACATATTTTCTATATTATATGGTCTGGTAATATATTTTCTATATTATATGACCTATTGACATATTTTTCTATATTACATTTTTTCTTTTTTTTAATATCTCCTATGATTATATATTTTTTTAATTCTATACAAGATTGTATCACAGGCCTTTGAATTTGTTGTTGTCATGTATCATTTCAGTTTTGCCATATATATGTATTTCTCTATTAGCTTAAAGGTACATTATGTAAGAGCTAGATCTGCCTAATGCAGGTTTTTATTTTGTCTTCAAATGATATATAAATTATTATTTAGACATTTATTCACATGAAAAACCTACAATCTACTCTCTAGAATATCAGATGGCTGAGATGTAAACGGATTAAATGCGATCGCCATTCAATGATTTAATTTAAAAAGGGAGAAACGAGACTGAGTCTTGATTAACAAGTAACGTTGCCAAGATAATAAACAATGAATGCCAAAACTTCAAACAGTGATAACATCGCTAAGTTTTCAATATGTTAATTTTGAATGGTCTATTTTTGAAATGAATGAAATGAAATGGGGTCTATTTTTGAACTATTATAGCAATAACGGTTAGCCCATCATCTAAATCTTACATGATGCATCTTTAATAACATTGAGAGAATAACTTTTTTCCATAAACTACATTTAATTGTATATCTTCTTTGATTGGCATTTAGTAATTGAACATATTAACACAAGGTACAATTTTATGGATACACAATTACTGAGTTTAATACAAAGCGACGTATCATTTGCTTGATAAAGACAAGAGTATCCTCGTCGAAACTCCAACCTCGTGGGTTTTCTCCGGGTCCTCCGGTTTCCTCCCACTGCTAAAGACCCCTACGCGCAAGCGAATTATGTAAATAAAATTAAACCATACGTTAGTCCCGAAATGACCTAGTTTGTGTCGAGTGGACGTTAAACCCCATTTCTCTCTCTCTCTCTCCCCTTGTCGAAATGTCGCTTAGTATCAAACTCAGTAATTGTGTATCCATAAAATTGTACCTTGTGTTACATTTAATTGATTCTTTAAATGACATCCAGAAGCACCTGTTAACTATTCATAACAAGGTATATATGGATATAACTACTTCTCTATTATTTAATAACGACGTTTCATAACACATACAGGTCACGTTTTCAAGTTTCGTAACACATACAGGTCACGTTTTCAAGTTTCGTAACACATACAGGTCACGTTTTCAAATTAAACGTGACGTGTATGTGTTACGAAATGTCGTTATTAAATAATAGACAAGTGGTTATATCTATATATACCTTGTGTTGTGTTTTGTTATGAATACATTTAATTGGTCTGTGAGAATGAAAATACATGATGATTTAGGTTGTAGGTTATTATTTGCATTAATTTATCTCACAATGTCTATTTTTTTCATGGATTGATCCAGGTGAAAATATACATAAATGGATTATTTAACCCGTTAAGCGTGACGTTTTTAAAACGTTAACTACCCCCTATTGTGTAATAAATTTGACGAAGTGACAAAGAACTATGTACTATGTTCTAAGAATAGTTTGGGGAAAATACCTCCAGGGTGTTATATTTACGCCCTACACACAGTGAGTGGCAGTTGTACAGGACCTAATATAACGTCCTCCTACACACTTAACACACTTAACGAGTTAACAACAAAACCAGTCTGAGCGTCATGGGTTACGGTCACCACAATAATCTTAGTTGAAATAAAATGCTAGTTACTTCCCTTTGCCCACTCGATTGGTCGATAAAAATAGCAGAAGTATCAAGGGTGGATAATTTGACTATGTATCTCCCCCCATGGTTGGACCGAGGGGTTAGTGGAGTAGAACAATACCGCTAGAGATACCAAGAATGGTATAATTTGTATGGGATTTATAATCTCTCAAATAAGGATCAGTGGTTTTAAAGTAGGATGTTAAAATAACTTAGTCTCTAACTCAATATCATCCAAAGTCTTCGACATTGAAAACATGAATTATTTGTCAATTTAAATCAACATTGATATTGTGATCTTACCCGGGAAAAGATGGGCTTCTGATATCCAATATTTATGACAAAATAAACATTTTACCATTGGTACACGAATCGTGTACTATAATGCGTTTCAGCGCCATTTGTAACAAGGGAGTCGAAGAACAAAGCTAAACATACTTAACAAGTCATGTCAAACGATAACGCCATATTTTTATCTGGAAAGCATACGCAATAAATACTACCGGTGTTGACTGATATAGCCAGAGATTTCCATTGGATTGAGAATTTGATTGATTAGAAATTACAGTAAAAACAGAAACGATTGAATGTAAATCAGTTTATATACATTCATATTACATTATTATAGGTAGGCCTAAGGCAACCCATTTGTGTCAATTTCTAGTTCCCGAATATTAGCGATTTAGCTCCTTTAATGTTAGTTTTTTTATATAGTTGGCTTATATTTATTGAGAATTAAAACATGCTGCTGATATCAATGTTATGTCTATATATATATATATATTTGTAGTTGTTATCATAATATACGTATATTGTAATTGTTTACCCATTGCCTTATTTAGCCATTTCCTTTCAAAAATCATACATAATTCTGTCAAATGTTCTGTTGGATCCATGGCATATATTTTTATACAATCTTTATATGTTTAGCCCTGATGGGATAAATGTATTTGTTAAGGCCAGCTCAATATTTGTCAAGGTCGCTGAGTTGTAAATAAGGTTAGGGCACGTGATTGTTGGCGAGATTGTAGGTTAGGGTAATGATTAGGGCTAGGTCCAGGGTTAGCGTTGGCATTAGCACTAGCCCTGTTTACATCTTGTGATCCATGACGAAAAATTGAGCTGGCCTTATCATTTAGCATTAACCACCCTGATGTAATGATATCTTTCTTGCCACAATAATATATTTATATTCACACCAGACAAATTATTTTGTTTTTAGAAAACGGACTATGCACTGACGTCTGATCCCAACTCCCAGCCCAGACAAGAGTTATTTCCCCTGTAGCTTTTAAAATTGTTGAAAGCTGTAACATTAAAATATTGGCGAATGCTAATTGTAGGCCGGTTGGGGAGGTTCTGGATTTTCGGGAGTGTACAATGGACGCTTTATATGAATGAGTATTTTGGGGCACTCGGCAAACCTCGGCAGATTCGGTTACTTTACATCTAGCTAGATTAGTGGTTCTCAACCTTTTTTTGCCAACGGCACACCTTGGAATACATGAAAAAATAGTGGTACACCTGGCTAAATATATATGAAAAATATTCGAATTTTGCAAAATAAAATCATGGCAAGTCATAGACGGCATACAACCGTAGACAGAGACATAGAATGACTCAAACTAAATAAAGAAAAACACAATTATGAAGTTACCAGTAGACACCAGTGAATACTCATTTGGGGTCACGTGGTTTTTCGCATTTTCTTAGTGTGCCGTTCAAAATTCGCGGCACACTTGGGAAGATCTCGTGGCACACCTGTGTAGCGCGGCACACTGGTTGAGAATCACTGAGCTTGATGTAGGGTACTGGAATCTGCTGAGGTTTGCCGAGTGTATTTTGGGGAATACTAACCCTAACCCTTTTAAGAGGGATAAAAGGTAAATTGTATCCAAGTTCAGTTTTCTACAATTAGCATCTTCCTAAAATATTAACACTAATTATCGTCAACAATTGATGCTTTTATATTGTCCTTTATTTTTTTATTTTTTTATTTTTAAGAATTTTATAGCATCAATGTAGTTTGTTTATGTTTAATAGATGTAGAAATTCGTTTGTTTTTT